CCCAGGAAACATCTTTCCTCCGCGCTGCGGTGGCAGGACTGTTTCCCCAGCTGAAGGGGAAGTGTCGCCTCGTCCCCTGCCCCAGCTGCACGCCCCACTGCAAACCTCATCTCCCCCGAGCTGAAACCGAAAGCAGCTCCGTTCCAGCTGAAGATACATGCTGCTACCACCCAGTGGAAAGACAGCTCACAGCCAGGATTTCTGGGTGCTCGTCAAAAATTTGGCCAAGTAAGGTTTGCAAAGACTAATCCCGTACGTCCCTACGGTGCTATAAAGCTCCTTCTCACTCCTATCATGCTTAGTTCATCCGTGTAGACACCGTCGTTCTTAAATCCGAACACAAAAACCTAGAAGGTTTGAATGCTTTTATTTGAACTTTTGTACAGCGATACAAATTATACAGATTCATTACAGTACAGATTTTGCAGGGGTTTATAGAGGTACTCAGTGATGTTTTTGGTTTATTTGAAAGAAAGAGGCAAATCCTGGGAGCATGGTGACATGAACAAAACGATCTCACAGTAGGAAACGAATCCCTGCTGTGGGGAACACTAACCTGGCTGAAACCTACTGGGCAGAAAGGCGGTGGCAGCGTTCCCGGCAATAACATACCCAAAACATCAACCCTGGGATACTCGAGAGCTTCACACAAGAATTCGTGAGCTTACAGGTGGGCAGGTTGCTCCTGTAACAGCAGTGAAAGTCCTTAAAGCCCTCGAACGCACTTTGCTGCAAAGGGACGGGGATGAGGGAAGCCGACGTTAAAACCCACCCGCCGTCGGGCAGGCAGTGTCGCGCAACAGCGTCGTTGCAGCTGCGGAAAAGGAACCCGGGAAACGCTTTAGATTCAGTCACCCCAACAGCGACATCGCACACGCAGCCAGAACCTGATCTCACGTTCCTCCCGCTCGTCTCAGCTTCGAGTTTGAGCGAGCAGAGACGGGAGGAACCAGCAAAGCTCCCCTGCAGTCCTTAAGTGCAGGAGAGGTGCGAGCTACGCACCTTCAGCTCTGGTAGCACGCTTCTCCGGTTAGTCCTGAACACACAACGTCATCAGGATATTGCTATTAGGAATGTGCATCAGGCTCGAGAGTCAAGTGTCTTGTGCTGAAGGATTAAACCCCTTCCGAAAGCAGGGGAACAAACACGATGACACCATTTTAAATGCTTCTCGTCGGTTCGGTTTAATACTGCTGTAGTGAGGGGTATCACAAATAACAGCATAAATTGCAGATTATACAGATAAAACGTGTGCACCCAATAAAAGATGGCCTTCTGTCACTTCAGATGTACCTGATTTCCTTGATATCCTGCAGTGGGCTAAGTAGCATCTGAGAGCAGGGATTCGGCTACCGGATTAGAAAATTCTGTTCTCAGCTGGAAATCAGATTCCTCTCCAGCCACAGAAACTCCCCTTTCTAAGAATACAAGACAAGCATCACACACAAAATTCCGTTCTGAGAATCCAGCACAGAGAAGCGCCCTCCAGAACTACAAAGGTAACTGATTCTGCGCTAGAATACGCCAGGACACACGGACAGCCCCGTTCCTCCGGAGCCTTCGCTCTCATCTGGTAGCGAAACGCAGAAGACATCAGAATGTAAAATGTAAACTTCACACAGATCGAAAGACGCTTGTAGTTAACAGCTTATTGCCCGTGCTCTTGGGGAAAGCCAGTGCGAATAATCTCGAGATGTACTTCCACACACAGAGAAGGAACGGGGTTGGTGCGGAAACCCAGTGACCTGTGTGGGATCTGCTGCACCGCTTGGAGCAAATTTGACACGGGCAGCCTCTGTCCAAAACGCGCTCAGCCGAGCAGGGATTCCTGGAAAACGGTCACCCCAAACAGCTCCGCTCGGAGCTGTTATTCAAGACCGGGGCTGCTCCACAAGTTGCTGCGCACATGCTTTAAAACCCTGCTGGCTTTATCGTTAAATTGGTTTCTACAAAAAACGGGGCTGGAACATCGCAGGATTTGCTCTAAAATTCTCACGACTGTATCATCTCTCCTGAAGACAAGTCAATGGCTAGCACTACAGGTAGCAACTGCTCCTACTACACTACGTGCTAAAAGTCAGGACTGAAACTACAATAACGTCTTTCGTAAGACAAGTTGAAAAATATCAGCATCATCCTAAACTGCCCTGGGACGGCGGGTCTTGGCCATGGTCACTCTCCCTTGCAGCCAGCTCTGGGACACCCAGCAGAACACCAGAAATTCACGGTCACCATTGCAGACTCTACTAGCAGCGCCAGCACATCTCAGTAGTAGGTTCACATATCGTTGCTACTCTAGGAAGGCAAGCAAAGCGCCCCAAAGGGCATGAATTTAACTTGACTCCCCCACCAGCCCATCGTTTGAACAGGTGAACACTCCTGCACCTTCCTTCAGGTGTCACAACAAACATTCATGGCCAGGAGCACACAGAGCCCCCCCGGAGGCTGTCACAGGCTTGCGCAGTCCAGCGCGTTGGCAACCCCCCGGTGCCAGCGCTGGGCTGCTGCTGTCAGAGGGCTGGGATCAGCTCTCCCGGGCTCAGGAGCTCGGCGGGGTTTGTTCTGTGGTGGTTTGACAGCGGAGTTTTGCAGCGCGTGACTCGCGTGCCGCCTCATCACCCCGCGGCTCTTCCAGAGACTTCCCCACCTGCAACCCAACTGGAGAAACACAGCAAAGCGCCTCCTACAGTAGCAAAGCAACTTCAGTTTCAGCGCCAAAAACCTGCCTGCTGCATCCCTGACTTCAGTTTTGGTTATTTTTTCAGTTCAAGCTTGAAGAAAGCTCTGCACAGCTACTAGAAATTACTTGGAGGAACATGAAAAGCCACAAAGTGAATTATCCATTTCTTAGCACTGCTGGTAACCTCCTCAGTCTAGGCTTTGCCATGCCAGGCTTAGCTTTAAGCTGCAAATAAAATCAAGCATTGCAGATAAAACCTTAACTGCTTTTTGCTGGTGGGATGGGGAAAAAGAATAATCCTGCTTCCTCCTACAAAACTTAAATGCCACTTTGATAGATTAAATACAGCTTTGTAGCTAGTTTGACATGCTTCTGTATCAGGAAAATGTTAATTGATTAAATTTTTGAAGGGAAGGGGGAAACAAAAGGGACTGGAGGAGTCTGACCCTAAGCCATACGGAAAGCACTTCTCTCACACGTTGGTGTGAACTTTCCTCCATGCAGCAATGGAATTCCTGCTTGCCCGGTCAGGAGGTTTGCCAGCCCAGCTGTGCGCAAGGCCCGTGGCAGCAGCTGAAGGACACGACCTCCGCTCGGCCAGCCCTGCTCCCACACTCGACACCCAGGTGACCGTTCACGTGCCCTCGCTGCTTCAGAGTCAGATTTGGACTCTCTGCTCAAGCTGACCTGAGAGCAGGTCTACAGAGAGAGCAGACCGAGTAGCTGGAGGGCAGGAACTTTCCATCCTTCCACGCTACAAAAAGCAGTAAAACCAGGGCAGCCAGAGCTCCTTTCCTCAATAAGAACACACCCTCCTCTTGTAACTGCCCCCGTGGTACGTGCACACCTCAGAGACACAGGACAACCGCCTCACTAACCGTTATGCCTTGTGAGAAACAGGTCGGCTGAAAAAATTGGGAGAATCTGGGCAAGACAGTTTTCAATCGATTTACTCCGTCTTACCAGGAAGACTCCACATGAAGCCGCTCACTGCTCAGCCCCCCAGGGGACACACACTGTGCCCCGGGCAGGGGATGCTGCTCAGAGGAGCCAGCGGGTGGGAAACCACGCGAGCAGCTGCGGGCTCCAGCGCTCCCGCGTCCTGCCCAGCAGGCTCAGCGCAGGGCTGGAGGTACGCGGAAACCACCAGACAAAACTTGGCCTCACTTCCACTCCTACAGAATTTTTACTTCACCCTTTGCTGCATGTTCCAGCACTTGCTTAGACCAGATTCCTGCCCTACCTTTTCCTCACCGCCCCCCCAACTTGTTTGTCTACAAATGGGTTGGTGCTGCTTCCCCATAAAATGTAAGGGAGCAAATTTCCAAATTAACACAACGTTTGAAAACTGGGGGGGGAAACATGCCATAGCAGACTCAAATAAAGACCAATGTTAAATATTACTTAATGTTTTCTTTTATTTAAAAGATCATTCACAAAATACCATATCCATAAATTTATTTTGTTATGAAGCAGAATGTGTTAAGTGTTTGGAATCTTTTTCCTTCTTTTTTTTTGTCTTTTTCTGTTTTGTTTTTACATTTAAAAGTCAACTGTCTTGACTAGAGGTGAATTTTTATACGGGAATTTGTTCTTAAAATCTTTTCCACATTGAAGATGTAAATAGGTCAATTATTGGTTTGGAATACAACCACACAAATGCATGTCTGTCTTAAATTAAGTATTAGTGTTAGACAAATGGTTCTTATCTCAGAAGCAGATTAAGTGACAGGCAGAAGGAAGGAAAGAGTAGTTCTGTAAATTGCTGGGACTCTGACATTACAAAGGTAACTTTAGGGAAAAAGAAAAAAATCACTCCTAGCAGTGATGCTGGCAGTGAAGCAGCCACGCTTCCCACCTGCCCCTGGAAGGACTCTGGGTGCCGGCTGTGTACCCGAGCTGTCAGCACTAGCGCGAGGGGCCCGAGGTTTCCTCATGTGCTGGACGTACCCACGCTTCACTCTGGGATGTCCAGGTTTGGTTTTTAAACATGAACGATCTCTCTCTCTCTCTCTCCTTTTGCTTTGGCCTCCCCTCCCTCCCCGCCACCAACGCTGGCAAGAAACGTTTCAAGCGCAGAGAGATGCAGCAACTCGAGAGGCTTTTTACCCAAACTTCTACAGGAAGAGAATCTACAGCAGAGCGGTTTCTAAGCTGCCCATTTCCAAGGTATTCTGAAAGCAGAGGTCTTAAAACTGTACACCACTGGGCAAAGAAATACAGGGGATAATGGCGATTACATACTGCATGGCAAAGTATACACTCCTTCAACAAAAAATAAAAAAGTCAATTTTATTCGTAGAAATTTTGCTTAAAAATTTACCAAACATGTAAAACTCAAAAAAGTAAGCAGAAAGAGCCAGTGAACAGTTGTGCTCAAACAGGCACGTTTTTGCAGCGCTAACCTGGAGCTCAGAGGTGTAGGATCATACCATTTTGAAGTCAACGGCCACCAGCGGGAGGCTGCTGGCAGCTGCTTTATCACACTGGTTCAGCACCTATTCACCAGGCTTCCTCTCGGCCAATTTTATTATTTGCATCTATTAAACTGACACTTCCTCGTAACCTGTGTGAAAAGGCAGAGCCCCTTAGTTTTATATAAGGGGTCCTGCTGTAATACAGTAATTTCATCACCAATTGTCGCAAATGGTATTTCCCTACTGGGTTAGAACTGTAAATTTCTCTGTTCAACTCATCTGGACTCTCCAGTTTTCCTCTTCAGAGCCACAGCAATACAGAACGAGACATGCAGGTCAGAAGAGGAGCACTGAGGAAGTAAAACAAAACAATACAGAGAAATAACTAAGTCTAATCTGTGCTTCTAAAGTAAAACAAACCCAGAAAGGAAGAAGTGAAGCAGCACCTTTGTCCAGAGACCCCCACGCTCGTGGAAGCAGCTACACTGCCTTATCTACTGGCAACTGTGCTGCTTGGAAGGAAACAGAAGAGGGAAACTCAGCACAAAGCAGGCACTAGATACAGCAAAGCCAAGAACGTACTAAAAACCACTTGTTAACAGCTGACATGCATTCACAAGCTCTGTATTTTCGGTTTCAAAGAGGACAAATACCAGATGGCAGGAATGGTAAACTGCAGGGTTGACATTCCAGCAGAGCTAGTCACTCTGTACTGTCTTGCTTTTTCTCCCGCCTCCCCATTCCCTCCCAACCCCAAACTCAGTCGTGCTCTTTTACTACTTCCTCTCGGGGCTTGGCTCCACCGAAGATAGCAGAATTTGGGTTGGCTACTTGATTGAGGGGAGTAGCAACTGTTCGAGGCTTGAGCTGAAGTCGGGGCCGCTGTGCTCTTTCCTCTGAAAGAGAAAACAAGGGCAGCAGTTTTAACCTGGCACGGAGAGCAGGAGTCTCCCTCGTGGAGGAAGGCTGAATCAACAGGAGACACGAACAGTTTACCTTCTGTTGGCTCTCTGAAGTCCATGGAAGATCCACGGAGGGGAGGCCCATCTCTGAAGCGACCAGTGCCACCGCTTCCCATCGAGGCACCTGGTGGTCGCCGGTCTCCAGGGCGGGTTCCTCTACCCCGGCCTCCCAAGAAGTCATCATCTTTGAATCCTGAAGACAGAAGACAGTGAATTTAACGAGCACATTCTACGACGCTTTTCATCTAGATTTTTATCTGGATGACTGGAAAACCTCGCAAGTCACTGCCGTCAGTCCAAGATGCTGCACTGAGAGCCTTTGTAGACAGATTGCTTCACAGGCCTCTAACGCCTTCTAGAAGAGTCGTACAGGTTCCATTTGAAACCAAGTACACTAGGCCAAGTTCAGAAACTGCTTTATCCACCGAGAGGCTTATTGGAACATTGGAGAGTGGGTCATCAAGGGAGCTTAAAAATATGAGCTTCGGCTGCATCTTCAGATTGTTAACACCGTTAGCTGAATTCCCAGACAGCACTAGAAGTACTCCGGGTACTTCTGCAGCCAGAAGACCACACTGGCTACAGCCTCAGCACGAAATCTGCAGGAGCAGAGCAAATGGGAAAATAGCTAGGGAATGGTGAAATATAGTCCTTATAAAACAGTGCCTTTGAAAAACAGAGCAAAACCCCAAGGCTTTTTAGTTGTACTATGAACTGCCCAGGCATTTAGTAGACTAATTAAAGAGCTGGGGAAAAAAATGTAATTCAGACTTTAAATATAAACTGAAGAAATGCAGTCAGTTTTATGTATCAAACCAAGAATTGCCTCACTGACCAGAGTTCTAGTCCGTACCAATGACTATCGTAGAGTATCTCTCCAAGTCCCCAACACTTGCATTCAATGGGAGAGTATTTCACGCTAACAACACACCTATGAGGAACATACTCAGTTTTTCAGAAGGCACCTGCAAGAAAAACTTGTTTTGTTCCCATCTGAGATTTTCCTTTCCATTTTGGCATCTGACCGGGTTGTAGAACTGTCCCTTACTTACTTCAGTGCCAAACAACCATCATTAAAGACTTGATCCAGAGCAAGGCTGTACAACCTGAGAAGAAAAGCTTCTGTAGCAACTAAGACTTAAATGCTAAACCTTTAGGCTCACAAATCACTCATCCAGCATCTAGCAAGCTGAAATGCATCCACACTTGCAGAAGCTGCCAAAGAAGGGATAAAGCTACGACACCAGAATGCTCGGCTACGAAGGCAGGTTAAGCGCAGCGCTGTAGCAAGCTTCCTCTCTCCAGCACCATGCTACAGTTGCGTGCCAGTGCCAAGGGCACACGTCGTTACCACTCCTTCTACTTTGTCCATTCCACTCACGCAGAGACCAGACATTGCAAAGTTGCACTTGCCAACATCTCCCCATCAGAAAATGGACCAAACCCACAGTTTCAGAGGACAAAAGCAATTGCTTTAACATCAGCATGGATTCTCATAGCTAGAAACTGACTGGAAGTCAAGAGCAAACCCAGTGTCTCCATCAGTACCTTCTACTCAGTGAGCTCAGCCATTTGCTGCAACTTGCATTGCTGTAACGGGTCTAGAAGTTTAGGAACAATTTGCATTTGGAAGTACTTTGGAACACTAACACTTAGGAGAAGTCAGTTGCTTCAGGGATATGTATATAATGATGTCACATCTCCTTAAGGAGGTGAAAGCCTCTGCTCAAAGAATACAGTATCAGCTTTCCCACGTGATCTGCTACTATTCAGAAATGTACTCAGCCACAGGTTTGAGAAATGCTTAAAACCTAGACACCATAGGCTATATTTGAGTAAGAGTTCTGTCATTTAAGGTTTGCTTCATAAAATTTACCACCAAGATGCCTTCCGTTGTTACAAGGCAATGAAAAAGATTCCCCTTAAAGAATCTCACTGCAGCTGCAGGATGCCCAAAGTCAGCATACAGCAGATTTGATCAAAACAGTAACGGGAGCAAATGTAGCTGACAAGAAAATAAGAACATTTCTGTGCCTTTTAGGCTGCCTATCTGTATAAGTGTTAATACTGATACCAGAATTGAAGTCATCTCTGGAATCCCATCCACCTCCTCTGGATTCTCGGGGACCTCCTCCCATTCCTAGGAAAAAAGCCACAATTGTGTTCAGGTGTGAAGCTGTGAGAAAGACTGATCAAGGGGACACCAAACCAAAGTTTCAGTCTTTCAATATCCAAAGTCACGCTGCTGGAAAATCCTTTTGTTTCGGTACTATCAAGTTTCGTCGCACAGGAACAAGAAGTCAGTTTAAGTTAACCAAGAATAAGTGGTCAGAAAAGTTTCTCTAATACACATTCAGTGGAAAGCTTCAGTGAGTCTAGTTCAGTTAAGCTCCAACGACACCAAAGCCTGTTTTTACACTGGAGATAAGATAGTCCAGAACAAGTATTTGTCTATTTGTGTTTACTCACTTTTCTTACATCATAATACAATAGTAGCAGATCAGACTGTTGGGCTTAGGATTGTCCTCTGCAAGACACCACACGTTACCAGGGTATTGGTCTCACTTCCTAGGCTAGGAGCAACAACATACTCGGCTTCCGGACACAAAGCGCATCTACATTCCAGACATTTCACGAGCAGCAGCAGCTAGGTTAGAAATATGTATGCACAAACAATATTTCTCCTTCCTATTCAATCTTCACGTTTACTTGCATGCCTTGTCTTAGCACTAGTTAGCACCAGAAGTCATAACTACAACCACTGTATTTGAGAAACTATTTAGAAGAATGGAAGTCACCTCTGTCATCAGGCCCTTTTCTGAAGCCAAAGCCACCTTTATCCTGTTTTCTGCCTTCTGCTATGTCCACTCGGAGTGATCGGTCACCCAAAAGCTGTTAAATAAAGAGGAGACTCGCTTCAGAATGTATCGTATGGACTGCCAGAGGCTTTGAGACTTGTGCTTATCTTTATTTGGCAAATTAATTGCAAGTATACTTACTGCACCATCATATGTAAGAGCTTCCTTGAGTGACTCCACCTCATCGAACTCTACGTAACAAAATCCTGTAAGAAGAACCTTACAAGTTAATACCAGCACTTCAAAAGGCCCTTCTAAGAAGTTTCTTTTCCTGCAGATCTGTCAACATCCTCCCTTCTCTTTCAAACAAGAGCTATGATATGATAAGTGCAAGATATACTCCAAAACCTCACTAAATGCATTTAGCTGTGCCTAGTAATGATGGGGACTCCATACAGGCACCGTGCAAGCGCCAAGAGCTTGATTAATTGCCCTTAGCAGAGGGTTCTCATTACAGATTAGATGTGATCTATGCCTTTACATAGTTATTTAACTGAATATTGACATTTGGTTACTAGCATTTTTAAATAAGAAGCTGAAGCATCTGCTTGGCCAGCAGGTCTCTGTCATCACATTGTTTTGTGAATTTACTCCTTTTCTAAGACCCTCTGTTACCCCAGTTAAGCCTTTGCCCCCAAAGTAACTTACAAATATACTCCCTTTCCACTAGCCAATTCCAATGGGAATTGGATTTGCATCCTCTAAAACAATTAAACAGTTGCCTGAATGGCTTATCTACTTGCCTTTTCTCCCCGTCTACTGAAAAAAACCCCAAGAAGCTGACAAAGGGAGCCTTCTGAACTGAGGATTGTGTAAGTACTCAACACTTAAGGCCACAGATCGTATATGGGCCAGATATTTCAGTTTTGTTAGAATTCATAAAAGACAAGCAAGGCTTGAGAAAGTCCTTTTATGGAAGGGCAAATATTGACTCTTGGCACTCAGGTTAGTCTGAATCTTAAGATGATGGAAGTAACAGTGGATTATTCAAATGAGATGTTCACTTGTTAGTGAACAAGAAACCTACATAAGCAAACACAAAGAACAAACACAGATCAACAAGCTAACTGTGGAGTAGACTGAAATTCCCCACTCAAGTGACTTTAAAGTACCTCACCTTCTCCTACCAGTTAGCCATCGACAGTTAAACCAGCTCTGAACACTCACCTTTAAATTTGTCTGTTTCCTTGTCTCTGACTAGTCGTACACTCCTTACACTGAGATCCTTGAAAATGGCATCTATGTCTCCTTGAACAGTGTTGAAGGGTAGATTTCCCACATAAGCTGTGAAAGGGGGTTCTGTGGGCAGCTCTTTCTGTTTGCGGGAACCAAGGCCGCCACCACGAGACCTGTTGAAAAAAAAGCACGGGGTCTCTGGAACTTGACCCCCAACACAGCCAGCAATACAGTATATGGCACTGCTCAAGTGCTGTTTTGACTTTCTGGAAGTGGATTTTCCCACAATTTTTGTTAGTTTTTCTATTCCTTTGCCTGCACTTGCCACCTCCACTATTGGCCAACTCCTTTTAGTATCACCTAACACAGCATTTCACTTGGAAAACAAATGAACAAGACATTGAAATATAACAGGTAATGAATGAACAGTAATTAAGTGATGAACAAACTTCTTTCTCATCCCACAATCCATTAAGAAAAGCAACATAAGGTCGTCCCTACCGTCCCCTACTCACTTTACTTAAAAAACACATCCCAGACTAGATTTTAAGAATAATGAACAGCAGTAATACTTGCACGGCACAGCCTCATTAGCTTATCCTGAAATTAAGCTAGATCCAATACTTTTAACTAAATATAGTATTATCAACAGCCACTCCGCAATCACCTAAATGACTTCAGCAGCTTTCAGCTTAACAGAAATGTCTTCCCTTGACTCTAGAGTTGTCATAACTGTTAGTTATCTGGGCTAGAATGCTTTGAATTCAGCACATAATAAAAAAACTTGGCTGAGCAAGGTGTCCTAAGGCAGAGAAACAAATCTCAGTGCTATTTGGATGCTTACTTCTTCCTTTGCATCTCATAAATGGCGGAGTGAAGTAAACCGTGTTCTTCCCCTATCTTTTCCCTCACTCTCACTTAAGGCTATTGGCATTGGCTGCTGCAAAACCAGACTCTACCAGCTAAATTCTTTACTGTAATAGTGTAACACATCCGTAAGTTAACTTCCTGTAGAGCTTAATCTTCTAAAGCTAACTTTGATCTCCTTCATCCACAACCAGATTTGCACTGCGGGTGCAAGTTATAGCTCCCGGACGTCCGGACTGTAGGATGCTGCTGTTACTGCTCCCAATGCCACCTGCCCCACCTAAGCAATTTTTGACTTGTACCCAAGATCCTACCTACTACTTTGCCCATGTTCTCTTCAACACCTTTACCTCCACTGGGCTTTGTTCATGCCTACTCTCCTTCCCAGAGGCTCGCTGTGCATTTAAAGCACGGCGGAACACAAACTATACCAAACCGGGATTTGCTCGTGAGACATGGACTAGATTTCTGCAGACTCCTGCCTAAAATAGAGAAGGTCAAATACTTTTATTATTTCCTTTTATTCTGGCTGGTTGCACGCAGTCTGGAAATCCATTGGGCTAGCAAGGTATTTTCCTTCCTATTCTTCCCCCCCCCCCCCATAAATATTCTATTGCTAATGAATCAGACAATGCAGAAATCTTGAATAAGATTCCTTAACTCTTCCTAGGTAAGGCTGTCATTTGTGCCTTTTTATGATAGCAGCTCCGTGCAGGAGACATTTACCAACACTATCAGCATGCTGCTAAATGTACTTGAAACCTACGCATCTTTAATTAGTGTCCACCCAGGTTCGTATTTCAGCATTTTGACAATATTCCTCATATGTCTTTGTCTCATTAACAAGTCAGAGTCAAAAACATACCAGAGAACTAAAGCTGCTATAGCTGGTTGCTGTGTATGTATAGAATTAACTTTAGTCACAAGGCTAAGTTTTAAGGACGAACTCCAAAAAAGCCGAGTTGCTCTCCAAAAGAATTCCATAATATGCAGAATCAGCTCCATGCCTTTGTCCTTAATTTTCATCTATGGCCTTACAACAGCTATTAAAATACCGTAATTAAATTTGCAGGAAAAAATATAAACCTTTATTTTTTATGTTCTATAGGAACATCAAAATTGCTTCAGCTGAGTTTAAAAGGAGCATTCTCTCCTTCTACACATTTTCAACACACTCCCTGGACTGCCAGTAACCTGGTTCAGCAAGCTGATTCACCTAAAAACGCGCCCGAAAGTTGAGCTCTCAGCCAGAACAACAAGATCTGGACAGCTGCAAGGAGCACAACATAGGAACAAGAATGAAAGCAAGGGCTTGAACTGCAGCTTTCAACAGCAACCTCCGCTCAGATCAATTTGAACTGCTTCTGAAACCACACCTTCAAGTTAGCAATCCCCAAAGGAATTTTTTGTGCTAGAGATAAACCTTGTTTCTACCATAGCACACCAGAACTTCATGGGGTGTGTGTATGGAAAACCATGTCCTGTTATGCAAGCCCAGAAAATTAAGCATTCTTTTTGAATTTGCTCTATTAAGGCCTAGATATCAAGCATAAAACTATACATTTGGTATTTTAGGCTCCATTTGAAGAACAGGGATGGTCAATAACTAGGTTCCAAACTAAGCTTCCTGCAAAATGCAAGTACAGCAACAGGAAAAGAAACTGTTTCTACTCTCCCCTATATTTTTTCAACACTGAAACAGTGAAATAAAAAAAAAGTAAAAAGGCTGACTACAGTAACCAAACAAAGAGACTGAATTGTATCAAAACAGGACAAAAGTGAACTATAATTAAAGACATACCTGAACTAAGTGAACTGGGTCACACCAAAGAGTTAAATGACTGTGTGGATTTCTCACTCAGTGTAACTTTTCCTCAGATACAATTAGGTAATAATTGTGTCATCTTAATGTGGGAATCTGAAAGACAACTATTTGATTTCTTTTCCAGAAAACCTAAGCAGAAAGCTGAGGAGGAAAGCTTGCTTCTAGCAAATGCAGAAGCAAACAACCCTAGAATTAGACTTACTTTTTTGGTGGACTGAGTTAATAACATCGTAAGGCCATATTGGGGTGAAAGAACAACTAAACTATCATTTTGAAGCTATTTTAGAAAGTTTAGTTAGTCTCTCCAGAAAAAAAAAAAAAAGATCTGTCAAAAGTTCAATACAAAAGAATATTTTGAAAGCTTGTATTTGAGTTTAATAGCCTTTCACTCAGGATCAAAACAATGGCTCAGTATTATCTTTCTGCACAGCACAGAGACAACAGCCTAACTGGATTCCAACATCAGGGCTTTACCAGAGGCAGCATAAGGCTCAGCAGGACGCAAGTTTTGTAAAGAATCTCCAAGACCGCAACTCTAAATACATACCAAGTTAATTCACGCAATCCAGCTCAATTCTACAGTAAGCATTTTCTGTCTTTAACAAAAAGCTTACCCAAGCCTAAAAATTAGGAGGAATTTATTAACAGTAAATGGCTAAAACAGGATCCAAAATGCCAGAAGGATAAAGACTAGCTTTCAGTTTCCACTTCAGCAGATGAATCTTAACCTTTGAGTAAGGTGCCCAGCATTAAGCTCAGTGCTTAAAGCCACACCTAAATAAACAGCCTACCAGCAAGTTGTGAGTGATAAATACTCAGTTTCCTTCAACTTTGAGAAGATCTGCAGATGTTCAGAGCTTCAACTAGGCCTTTGTACGCTTAATTACAGGGGTTTGTGTCAAATTTTAGGCTCCAAAACACTTACCAAAAAGCTTTCAAAGCATTTATTTGTTAAGGTCAGCAGCAGGTTCTTCATCTGGAACGAAATGACTTTTGCATAGTGTTGTATTATGCCTCAGCTCTAAATCAGAGCACTGCTACACATCTCAGGTGTAGCAAAATCCCGTCTCATCATGTCACGGTCATATTCTGTTGTTCTTCCACCACAATTTCGAAGAGTATGAGAAAGAGGCAGCTATCTTACCTGCTAGAATTTGTTGGGCACTACTGTTTTCTGTCTGTCCCACTTAAATCCTGGGCTCACTCTCAATTCAGACCAAAGGCACTGCAACTTCCACAGAAGCTATTCTGTATCAACTGAGTTTACACTATTCTTACAGTCCTAAGGCACCTAAAAACAAGTACGAGTCACTTTAAGTTAATAGAACCTTCAAGAACAGTCCTATTTTCACGGCACTACACCTATCACAGGACTTGCTACAAAGCACAGAGACCTGTTAAGGACCGAAATAGCGAATTAGCTGTTAGTAGCTTACTAGTGAGACTGATAAATTAGATGGAAGAACAAGTTGCACTTCAAGATCAACTTCTCATTTGCAAAATCATCTACTAATCATCAGGATGCCTTTCATTCACCAAAACAAGAATTCATCTTGCCTGAGAGCAAGTTTAAGTACACTGTTGAAGCAATCTGAATATGAAAGTAACATTTTAACTTTTATTTTATTACTTCAGACAGAATGTGCCTACATTTACTAGGATAGATTGTATAGTAACATTTGAATCTATTACCAGTGTCAAGTGCCACTTTAGGCTGCTGTCAAGGTTATTTGTTACAGATTTTTTTTACCAATATTGGAATTCTAAGTGGCTACGTGATCTGTTTGCTCTGGGACACCTCTTCTTTAGACCCAAAGGGTATTTCTGTAAAAATGAGCTTACAAAGCTTAAGCTTCAGAGTGTTTCCAAAGACAAGAAAACTTACTCCTGTTACGACCTCAGTCATAGCTCCTCCCTGCTGCCTAAACAGTCTGAAATTAAACTGATTTGTTCCTCTAAGAATAGGAAAGGATGAGAATACCGTTGATTAGGAAGCATATGTTGGAAGATTAGATTATAAAATAGCATTCATGTTAAGATTTGTTTACAAATACAATTTATTTCATAGTTTTACACCTACTGTTTTATTTTAGTGCACACAAACTTAGATGGCACTAACCTTCAAAAAACTCAACTGCTAATTGCATCTTCCTAACCCGAATTAAGACAAACTTCGTAATTGCTGCTTATTGTTTTCATAGCTCCCCCCCCTACACACACTCTCCAGCAAAAAAAGAGATGAGACAAACCCCGTTCCTAAGGATCAGAAATTTGGAACCAGCACCCGGAGCCCCGGATAACGCAGGACGGCGGCTCGCAACCCTCCCCGGCCAGAGGCACCACAAAGCCCTCCCATTTCCTCCCCGCTGCAGGCAT